TGGGACAAAGCTGAACAAGACCTGCTTGCTAAAGGGGTCCAACCAGCGACACTGCACTGGCCAGATCGGTCAAGGACTTGGTTCTTCGGGGTTGGGGGAACTTTGAACCCATAATCAGGGAAGTGTGTTTGGACGAAAGCTCAAGTTGCAATACCCGTCAAGAAGCTTGAGGAAGAAATCAAGGTAGCGCGGGAAGGGAGATTCCATCCCGACAGAGAGAAGGACGAGCTGACACAGGCCCTTGGGAATCCTGGACACTCTGGACGAACACGAGGCACATCAGGCTCTGTTCCGTGGGTGCATGGGTTTCCCGACAGCGGTGGTTATAGAAGCCGAGAGAGAAAAAGGAAAGAGAAAGCAAGCGAAATGCAGAAGATGATTGCAAGATTAGCAAAACTAGAGAAACTTGAGAGCCAGCGAGCTACCGACCAACCATCTCAGCGGCACGAAGATCCTTCGTTCGACACTGCCCTCGAAGCTACCCCACCATCTCAGTAGAGAAGCAGCGTGGCTTCCACGGAGCTCGTTCATCATCATATCACGGCTCCTCGCTACCCCGTGGATAGTATCACGGAGAATGAACATTGTGTGCTAATGGCGAAATGCCATAACCTGACCTTGAAGGTGGTGGTCGGCTCTTTCTTACCTCCTCAAGATGAAGGGACTTTCCATTGCCGTCCGATTCCACATGGCTTTGCTATTGTCGGGGTGGATGAAATAATGGAGTGATTTGAGGGGCTGGAGCTTGAGTACCCTACAGGTGAAGGGGAGATTCATCTGGAAAATGCCTTAAGGAGTACCTGCCTATGGAGAAAGGAGAACATCAAGCTTCTAAACTGGACGCCGCCTCAGCAAACTCCTCCTAGTCCAGCTCAGCCGTCTCAGCTTCCTAAGTCGTCTCCGGCGCGTGAGCTGTCTCCACCGCCTGAGCGGACTCCAGTGGAGGAGGCCTGTTAGCAAAGTCCTCTTCCGTCTCAGCTACCTCCGGCGGGTCAACTGACTCCGCCTCCTCCGGCGCGTCAGTGGACTCCTCCTCCTCCGGCGCGTCAGCGGACTCCGCCGCCTCACTCCAATGGCTACCAATACAATAGGCGGGAAGAAATTCAAAGCTGGTCCAAGCCTCAGGGCTCCTCCAAAATTACCATATGAGAGGTCTGACGAGGAAAGCAAGGATATCAGTGCTGCTGAAGTGCAGGCCCATTTTGAATGGAAACGTCCACCTCCGAAGGAAATAATAGATCTGGTGAAAAGGAATCGCACTCTGGATGCCCTTAAGCGACCACCACCGCCTCTGCCGCCATCCAACTATGACCGCTATATTGCAAAGACATATGATGAAGCGCCGCGGTCGGGAAGTACTACCAGAGCTGCAAGACAAAGTGGGAAAAAAATTCCCCAGCTCGGCGAACAGGAGAAGAATAATGCCCCCCGCTCAAGGTGTCTAGCGATATCGCTAATCATCCGAGGCTAGTGCTCGGTACCACTCTTGGTGATTACGTGCGTGATGATGTACATTTTGAAATGGCTGAGGTAGTAGCTCCCTTTAGATACGAGCGCGGGAAGCCTCTCGTCAAAGCTGATCAGCTCTCGCATCTAACAACTATGGTGCGAAAATTACATGACTGGTACTTGGATACCTGCAGCAAGGATGTGACCGACAGTATATTGCTGGGAATTAAAGATGAGCATGACTTCATTGGAGTTGAGGTGATGCCTATTAAATTTGTGGAATTATTTCAGTTATTCAATCAAGACGCCCTCGACAAACAACTCGTGAGTTGCTATTGTTTGTAAGTATTATTTCTGTAGTTAAGTCTCTAGCTCAGCTTGTTCATTGTATGTATATATAATTATCCTCACTATATTATGCAGATTGAAGATCGTCAAATGCAAAAGAGGACAAATCTATGACATTGGGTTCATTAGCCCAAGTACCGTAAATGAATGGAAGGTACAAAACAGAGTTGAAGATACTGATGAAAACTTGCTAAAAGCGTTCCTTCGACATCAAAACAAAAGGGAAATATTATTTCCTTACAACTTCAAGTGAGTGTTGTTCTCTTGTGCATATTCAGTTTTGCTTATTGTGGTTGAGTACTGTAATCGATGAGTTATGCGTGCGAAGGGGTAAAGATCCTAAGGATTATGCGGATATGGGTGAAATGCTCCAGAAGAGTAAGTTCAATCATTATCGTACCATATCGGCAACTTTCGTGCATTTCCTGATATCAAGTAACAATTTTCTTTACCGGGCAGGGTTTGGAAAAAGTTCACCAGAATGGTTCCGGGTCTGAAAAGGAGCTGCGATTTACACCACCCACCTCTCATTATTTCTAGTTTCATCAATACCATTATCATGCTTTATTATCAGTTTGACTGAACTCTATTCTCGTAAAGTGCTTGTGGCGGGCAGGCAGGAATAATTTATGTGGATACTACATTTGCGAGTTCACTCGCCACTCGACCTTTAAGCGGGGCTAATCCGAGAAACAATTTGAAGTACGTAAACAATATTCATAATTTTATTTTATTACCATCAATTGTGGTGAGTTTCATTAATATATATGTATTGACCTCCTTCTTTAAATTAGATGTGGGAGATGTGGGAAGAACTCCTACCACATTATCACATACGAGCAATTCAAGAGGAATTGGCGGGATTCTTTCTTGACCACGTCATACATGAAAAGGGAGAATACCATACGGAAGTACAATGGGATTTTGGTGCTTGATGATGTCAGGGATCGTAAGAGATGTTAGGTTGTATATATGTAGTAGCGTCGGATAGATATACGAAAACTTGTTGTTCGACAAGCACGAAAAAAGAGAGGTCACTTCTTTCCATATATGTTCATGACGATCTCTTGTGTAATGGTTCCTTCATTGCTATATGTACTAGTTAGCGTCGAGTTGAATGGAAAACATTAAATAAAAATGAAACCCTAAATGTAAAAGAAATGAAGGGTAAACACAAAAATAAAAGGGGGAAACACAATATGAAAACTCCTAAACCCCTCCTTTCAAAAACAAAAAAAACAAAAGCCCCCAACGCCTGGCAACTGTTGACGCGTGGCTGCCTTTTAATCCCGGTTGGTGTTACCAACCGGGACTAAAGGTCCTCCTGCCTGGGCGCCCCACAGCGGTCACGTGGAGCACCTTTAGTCCCGGTTCGTAAGCAAACCGGGACTAAAATTAATGGGCAGTAGTCCTGATCGTTTTGTCCCGGTTCCATAACCGGGACTAAAGGCCCTCTGGAACCGGGACTGATGCCCTGTTTTCTACTAGTGAACCCTGATTTTGGAGAAACAGAAACGGTGTTGTGCTCTAGTCCGGGCCTTCGTAAAGAAATCTGGCAACTGTAGCTCGGAATGCACATATTGAATAGCAATAATCTAATCCTGCACAACGGAGTGCACAATAGAATCTTCGACACCAATATGTTTGGGGAGCTCATGCTTCACAGGGTCACGCACAGTACCGATAGCACATGTAATGTCTGACAAGAGACAAGAGAGGAGTAGGTGTGGTGCCACAAACACCGTAATCCCGAAGCATCCATCGTAGCCAAGTCAATGCTGTTGTCGAAAGAGTTATAGCTTGTAACACAGCATCTGCACTCCAACGAATAACCACAAAATGTTTCCAGACAATGAGAGAGCTACCAAGAGAATCGCAGTAAGCAGAAAGGGACTGGTGATTGAAAGGATCGCTAGCCAATTTTATGGGCAAAGGTCTGTAAGATTTTGACGCAATCTCCATGGTTCCATGTATTTTGCGATTTCCATGCTCCATGTATTATTCTCTGCAACCCCGTGAGCAAACTGAGCGATGCATGAGGCAGCCGATTCTTGAACCACGTGCATTTAGTACTTTAGGCGAAACCATCTTATTTTCTATTTCCTGAAAACAACTCCATATTCTAGTCGCCCGCCTCTATGATCTACTATCCAACTGCCAAGGAAGCGCCCATCTCACGCCTAACGAATCCGAAAACATGGTTGCGACCGTACCCCCGGGAGGAGTGTTTCACATTCAAAATAGGCCTGAAGCTGGAACACATTGGATGTCAGGAAGAAGAAAAGATGAGAGATCGCCCAATGAAGATATCATATAGGACATAGGAGATGACTGTAGTGGATCAAAGTGGGAGCGGAGACAAATTAACTAAGAATGCGAATGACATAGGAAATGCTTGAATGAGTGACAACTAGATATAGAAGACTTCCACCAAGACGGTAGTGCATCAGATCAGACAAAGGCCTACCATCAGAAACAGAGGTGGACATTGAGCTCCATTAGAGTCTCAACAATGGGTTCATCAGTAAGGGCAACAGGAAAAATAAGATCATGAATATACTTCTCTTGGGATATAAAGAAGCCAGGAAAGGTAGAAAACCTCAATTCCAAGGAAGTAGCAAAGAGGACCAACATATTACTCCCTCCGTAAAGAAATATAAGAGCGTTTAGATCACTAACTATACAGAGGGAGTACATAAGAAGTCAATGTCATGCATTTATTGTAACTTACGATCAATACTAGGAGCCGCTAAATGTACGGTCGGACATTTAGATTATTGATTGGAATTTTTCTAGCATATCTATCTTCTTTTTTTCTTTCATATTATGCTTTTAGTATACAATAAAAATAGATTAGAAGAAAGAAGAAGACGAAAAATCTACATTAAAGGTTTTTGAAATTCTCGCTCTTAATATTTTTTAATTTATCAGTAACAAATAGTATGTGACTGAGACGTGAAATTTAAACCAAATGTGAACTCGCATATCCCAAATATAAATTAACAATGCAGCAAAGCAAATGATAATTAGCAAAACCAAATAGTATTTAAAAATGCCATAATATTTTGATACAGTCCGTGCAAATGAACGGATCGCTGACTTCTGGACTCAGCCACTTAATGAATGTTTGCGAGTCTAGGCTTATTACACATCAATACATGAATATATAGCATTGCCACAAATGACATATCTGGTGCGTGCAGCTAGTTGCTCCTGAACTCCATACCCTCCACGATGAGTCCTCTCTTCTCAACGGTGACGTCCTCATCACGGAGATCCACGATCACCCCCTTCTCTTGTAGCATCTCGTCATCGTTTGCGAAGTCCGCCAACTTAAGCTCCAACCAGCCATCGCCCCTCGTGATAGGGTAGATAACATCATTGACCGACATGTGCGTTTCAGGGTCGAGACTAACCTTGTTGGTGGCGACGATGTGCTCCCCGTAGAGCCTGAGCGACGACGACTGCACATAACCTTTTATACCAGATGTGTTGGTCGCCAGCTTGTACACTAGGTAAACCGAGTAGCTTTTCCCTGCAGACAGGTCCCTTGGTTTGACCTCTCCAGTGACCGCGAGGAAGTACACACTTAGGAGCTCCGCACATTCGGCAGATCTGATCATGATAAAGCCCCAATTTCAGGTTATAATATACTCCCTCCGTCCCGTAATGTAAGACGTTTTTTGATACTAGTGTAGTGTCAAAAAGCGTCTTACATTACGGGACGGAGTAAGTACTTCATTAATAAAGCCCCAATTTTTTTGATCTTGTTTTGAATAAGTGCCGTGGACAAAGTTTCATGGTGCAAATTTTATGTGAGCAAACCTTGAGCCTGGGAGGGAAATCCATCTCCAGGACTCGGGCTGGTTGTTCGCAATACGCAGCAATCTTGACGAAAGCATCTTGCACCCACCGTCAGTTATTCTCTAAAACCAAGCAATCTGTGTTGATCATCGAAAATTCAAGTCATAATTAAGAACAGTTTTATATTAACATCTCATCTTATTAGCCATGCATGCATGAAGACAGGAAAGGGGAAACCAATGAATTTTAAAGCCAGTCAGATATCTCAATGGATGCGAGTAGCTATTCTAAATATTTTTGTGTCGACCCTTGTGAGGTCACCGATCAGATGGCCATAGACATGACAGTCACCAGCGGCTACATATTTTTCTTGAAAATAATCTAGTACCAACTACCTGCACCTATTGATTTAAAGAGGGATTTCTATATTTTATTAATGGTATATCAATATTAATATAGACACACACACACGGTGGAGCTAAACTAAGTGAGCGTGCAGAATAACTAGTCGTATGCGCTGGTCCTAATTAGGTGGGTGGGTTGATCCGCGGGAATAAACCTCTACCACGCTAATTAATTGAAGGTAAAACTGTTAGAAGAAACAATAATGGTTTAAATTGGTTACCATCCGGCATGGTCCACGCACGCCCTGTACAGACTAGCCACTCATCGACAATAGTAGTAAAAGTGCTAGCATATATCGTAATGGGATTTAGCATATATCGTAACGGAATTAAATCCCATTACGGGCGGCCATACATGCATTGCACTTCCGTCCTGTGGTTCCTATTTGCTAATGACAGTAAAGTTGTTGGCATATGTGGTAAAGGAATTAAGAGCTTTACTGGACGCACACACTGGCCCAGAATTCCTATGATGAATGACAATAAACATAGTGGCAGATACGGTAACTGGAATTAAACCATTACTGGCTGACACCTTCCACACCTACATCCTCAAATTGTAAAATATTCTGGCCACATAGTAATGCTGAAATGGGAAAAGGCGTTGCTTGTAGTAAATGCTTGGAAATAGTTGTAGAATCATTACTGAATGGTAATGATTTTTTAACAGAGACCCACTAATAGTAATAGTGTTACTACTGTAGTATGAGACAACTATTATTACCTGATAGGTGGTTAGTTATATTACCATCCTGTAATTGACATTACGATCAAATATTAGGGATTGACACTGATTTTCTTACATGGAGTCGAGAGATGCTCATGCTAGTAATACATCATGTTTGTATTACTATAACATTACCATTTATTTCGATACGGAGTGGAGATACTCTCATACTAGTAATGCATCATGTTGTATTGCTATAACTAGACCCAATATTACTCTCGATCTTATCAACGAGTGGAGGGACACGCGCAAGGACCGTGGCTGGTTCGGTTAAGAAAAAATGGGTTTACTTAGGCCACGGGGCGGCCGACGCGTAGAATAAACATTATGCGCTCAGGCTCAGTTTAGCGGTCCTCTATATGTTATTAGCTCTATTTTATATATTTTGATCATATATCAATGCTAATACAGTGGCAAAATAAATAGAGTAATACTTTGCATTTTACCAAATAATAGAACGGAATACACCACTAATTTTCTAATCCTTCCATTATGTAATTCGGTTATAAAATTTTCAGTAACTCTAAGTATCAACCAATGAGAGCAATACAGTAAATATGTTGAATACCCAAAGTAGAAATATGTGACAACCTAACTGTGGAAATGCGTTCGTGTATCAACATGCATGGGTTTCTTGAATGTACAAACATGTCCCTCTATTCCTAAATATAAGTCTTTTTTTAGATATTTTAATAGGGACTATATACGAAGCAAAATGAGTGAATCTACATTCTAAAATATATCTATATACATATGTATGTAGTTCATATTGAAGTCTTTAGAAAGACTTATATTATCAATGGAGGGAGTATTGTTCAACAGTGCAACAATATGCCCACGGGGGTATAGCAAAGACAAACTAACGTAAACACAAATAAGTTCTAACTAGGTAGCAGACTTCACGCCAGCTAGGAGTAGAAGAGAAATGGTAAAATGGAAATAAAATATATTATAAGGACAGTGCACACCAGATGTAACATATGGAAAAGAAAAACAGAAGATACGTGCCAACGTGCTCTGTACGCCAAGCAAGTATACTATATATAAAGGAATAACAATTATATTGTGGTTGCACCAATAAATGTTAATAGCACAAAATAAAATAATGTTAAGTGAGATTAATTGTTTTAGTTGTGTCGACAAACATTGCCACAATTAAAGTGACAAAGGTAGAGTGTTCTTTAGAAAATTTGATACACACTAACAATTACTTTGCCATTTGATGGATAATCGCCAGAGTTAAACACAATAGGATTTACATCAAGGGGAGAATTCGAGACAAGTCATACCACAAATGAAAGAGCAAGTTTGCTATTCGACAAGGAATATGAGATATGTTCAGGCACAAGTGTTCGGTATTCAAATTTTAACTATCATTGAAAAAGTTCTTAAATTTATTGATGGTAATACACCAATGGACTAGGAGAGATGGAGCATAAAAAATAATTTAATCTATATATATCATATGACAACCCATGGAACAAAACGTGCTCCGTCTGTGGTTCATGTACCATTGACTTTAACACAACTTCATACATTTAACTGAACAATTCTAAATAAGTTCTGCAGGGGTGAATTTCATCTTCTCGCGGTTCTAAATTTTAAATTGGTGTCAAAAAATCAACTAACATCGCCAATTTGACGTGACAAATAAACAAAAAACATAAACATAATGAGCGAACCAAGTTGTAGTTGGATGGTTAGTAGGACAGTGGTGTCCCTAGCCCACCAAGGTTCAAGTCCTGTGCTTGCTTTTATTTTTGGATTTATTTCAGGATTTCCGGCAATACGCTTTGAGTGGGAGGAGATGTTCTCGTCGACTACGAGGTGCCTATGGTGACTTCATAAATCTTAAGATGATATGCCGGCTCAATCTCTCGAAGGTGCTCATAGGGGTAGGGTGTGCGTGTGTGCGTTCATAGGGGTGAGTGTATGCACGTATATATGAGTACTTGTGCCAGTTGCGGTTGGGACACTATTACATGGTCGGCTAGATCAGCATCAAGGGCCACGATAATGATGCCGTGTGAGCTTGCTTCGTGGCAACCATTGGTACTCATATGGTCGTGTTCCCCGGTCCACTGGGACTGGCTAGGGATGTAAGTGTGGAGATGTCGACCAAGGCTCCGGGACTAAGGCTGAGTTAGGAGTGAAATGAGGCACCTTTACTCTTTCTATTATTCTTGGGACAATGTGATGGGGACAAGTGGTGGTATCTTGGACATGGATGCCGGATGGCAGCACCGGATGGCGGTCCAAATGGTTGGCTCTCCGGGGGGCACCATGGTGTTGGTGATGGCTTACCTCATGGTCGTGTGGGTGGCAAGAGGTGTAGCGGCGGGTGGATTGGGTGTTCGTTTTGCCATCGACAGTGACGTCGACCCGATCCGGATCTGGATATAGGGAGTTGAGCTCATCGCCCTTGTCCTAGTGACCTCGTGGTCTCATGAGGGAGCTGTCAAGCTAAATCTCCATGCCTTGTCACTGAGTACGGTGATGCTCGTGTGCGCCGTTCTCTTCCTGGAGTCGTCGTCATGGTGCTCTTCTGTGCGCCAGGGTTCCGGGTGAAGACCCTTGTCTGTTCAGGACCCGGCAGTAGCAACGCTTTGGACCATTCTCCCTCCCGGAGACGTTGCGTGGAGCTTAGGTTTGTTAGGGCGTGGCATGGCATTGTACTCATTCCTTCCTTTGCTCCCTTCCGGTAGCGTAGTTCCTATGTGATCTGGTTATATTGGGATCCGTGTTGTATGAGGGCTACCTCACCATGTTGTATCATTTAGCCGTGTACTTGGTTTGGTCGGTGCTTTATATATAAATCAAGGCGAAAGCCTGTTTTGAGAGGATATCAATGAAACCTACCAACGTACTCTTACAGCCAGCACCACTAAAAAGAGACTTGCAAGGATAAGGCACATTGAGTGGTTGCTGGAACGGGGGAGGGGGGATGGGCATGCTTTTGAGATCCTATTACAACTGCTAATATATCACAGTAAGCACATTAACTCAATATTTGTGTTAATCAAACAGTGGGAGGCACTACTGCAAAGGGCATATACCCATTCCTCAAAGCTTCCACACAAGATGAGGTCTTGGGAAGGCACTACTAAGATGGCAAGAAATGGGAGGCAATGCTAAAGCGGGCGTAATGTGATTCGTTGTATGAAACATGAATATTTGAAGTAATAAAATAAAAAGCTAAAACTGAAAATACATATAATTTATTATCTTTGATTACTATAGTTGTATTTTTTATTAAATCATAATAGAATGAAAATTCTAATATATGTTTGCGTGTTGAAATGAGTCTATTTTTCATGCATGTTTCATAATGAAGTGGCATGCTTGCATGTTAATAGACATATGGTACTGGGAGTGGACATTTTGTCATGCATGTTGTGTGATGATGTAGCATGCTTGCATGTTGAGAGAAATAGTTAGTGGAGGCTAGCTATTTAGATATAGAACATTGTGCGCTTCGGCCATCATGCAGTTGTGAGATTCTCGTTACCCATGGTAGTAAAATACTCCCTCCGTCCCTAAATTATTATCTTAGATGTCTAGATATATATGTATCTGGTCACATTTTATTGTAGATACATGCGTATGAAGACAAATCTATGACAAGAGCGAGAAGTGTTGCTGGTGCAGGCAATTGTGCGATTCTTGTTCGGCATGCTTGCAAAATTAGGGTACACCGGGGGAAATATCAGGAGCTCCCATCAATTTTTTTAGGGGTTGTATGTCACACTCCTTGTGAGCTTCCTGTAAAATGTCTTGGGGAAAACTAGTATGATACTCTCTCTATTCCATAATTCTTCTGCAGTTTTATTCAGTTCAAATTTGAACCAAAACCACGACAATAATTATGGAATGGAGGGAGTAGTAGCCATTCCCTTTGTTCCGGTTTATTGGGCCTCTTCGTACTTTATGTTAAACTTTGTCCATACATTAGTGAAATATGAGCTAT